TATTTTCTTTAACAAGATAATGCAACTCAACGAGAAATGGATGGAAATTATCGGTATGTTTGTTGCTACATAAAAACTCATTATATATTTTATAGTTGCATATTCTGATGAAATATTTGGACAATTCTTTTTCTCGGTGAGTCAATTGTATCGCTATTAGGTGTGCGTTCAGGAATTACGCTCAGAAAACTCTAGTTCACTTTTGCCATAATTTACGTAAAGTGAATTATAGCAAACAGTTATCTAAGAATATTTCTTGATCGTACCCTGATATTTTGTGTAAGTGATAAATGCACCTGATTGCGTTCAGTCGGTCAAACTATTTTGCGCATTCTAATTCATGCGAGAGATTCTTTTGTCAATTTCGAAGAGTGGAGATATTGTGAACTTGCAATGGTAACTGAGATTAGCTTAGAATTTGCGAAAACAAATGAAAACAAAAACTCGCTGAGAGAAATCAATCTCGTGCTTGCAACAGTGCTGTTATCTGCATAACGAATTTATTAACGACCAAGTATGTGTGAATGATTGCGAGAATGTTTACAAATTTTTTCTATTTTTTAAAAAATCATTTTTATGATATAGCATATTGGTGTTTACCATTAGCGATCACGTTAACTTCTCACCAATTTTGTTTATCAGTTTGCAAGCTTTGTAAAATATTGATAAGCACGTACATGCAAAATAAAAATTTCTAACTTTTCCTAACAATATTTTGCTTTGTTGTTATTTATCTTTACTTCTGATTATTCCTGCTTTAATTGTTAGATGGTAAGGGCATCTTCAATATACAAGAGATCAATAATCGATACTTTTATATGATTCTTTAATATAGTTCTTATCTTTATTTTTTTGTTAGATTTAAATAAGAATTACAGCCGCTTGTTTTTTTTTCCTTAGGGTGATGTCTCATGCAGCAGATCGTGCGTAAGCGGATATTCGTATTGCCAATCACAGAATCATTCTCTTAGATCTGCTTGCGAAATTTGCAAACAAATTTAAGAAAATGATTTTGTAATTGACGATACGCGTATCCACTTACGCACGATCCGCTGCATGGGACATCACCCCTAGGGCGCGTTCACACTTTGAAAAGCAGGAAGCGGAAAAACAGTGGCCAATCAGAACGCGTGCGGTAGTAAATAGTACAAAAAGCCGAAATTGTAGACTACCAATTAGAGTTCTGATTGACTGTTGCATTTCCGCTTTCCGCTTTTCCATTAAGATGTGAACGCGCCCTTACATGTAGCACGGCCAGTGACAAATTCACGTTACTAAGCACTTTTTAATAGAATTAATTGATTTAAATGCAATTATTAAGTAAATCCGTTGAAAAATAAGAGTATGTGAAATGTGCATAGAAATAAGTTAATATATTTTAAAAAATTCATATTAAAGTTTATGTGTCATTAGCCTGCGTCGTTTACCACGCTACGTGTAATAGAAGGGAAAAGAAGCAAACGGCACGATTTACGCGGTTTCTATAATTACCTAATTAGTTTCTGTATCGCATATTGCGTACCGCGCTACATATAATCGCATCCTCAGTGTTGAGTCCACTAAACATGCCCATTAACTTTTAACTGGTTCAAGGATAAATTCAAGGATTAACTGGTTTAATGAAGTTTTTATCCTTCACTTTATCTAACTTTTTTCAGATTTGTGATGTAAAAATACAAGGAGTTTTACTTTTATGTGCAGTCGACCTATCAGGAAATTGGAAAATCCAAAATATTGGGTCATCTAAAAAGTATCCGCGGTACTTTGTCACTAGATATATGACCATCAACATACATCTAGTGACAGAAAACCGCGGATACTTTTTAGATGACCCAATATTATAAGATGATGGATGCATTCGTTTATGCAGTGAATAACACATGATAACACATCCTCTGCTTTCTTATCTGCTGGTCACGTGATTTAAATTTATCGAATGGATCTCTGCATAAATAGCTGCTCGTACCGTATTGGATCTACCAATAGAAATTCTGGAAAAGCTGAGGTGATTTAAAATTAAAACCTAGGGGCCCTATTTTTGAACAAATATCGCATACAGAAATAGTAATTCCGTATACAATCAATCAATCAATCGGGAAACTCATTTTCATATGCAAAAATTATATATACATATATGTGCTCAAAAATAGGATACCAGTTTTACAACTCATGATTAACTCTTAACTGAGATTCAACTTATTCCTCATCTCTTTCTAATGCTAGAATTGGAAAGAGATGAAAAATAAGTTGAACTTTGGTTAAGAGTTAACCATGAGTTATAAAATTAGGCGCATTGATAGCGTTTGTCCATAGCACGAATAGTGTCTCCTCAAACGCACCTTATATGCGTTGTCTGAAACAAAAAATAAAAAATTGTAACAGTAAAAAATGAATATAGCTGCAGCCAGACGCAGGGAAATTACAAAAAAGTTGAATAAAATTGTGAAATTTTTATTAATTAAAAAACGGCTACGTCCAATAGAAGTAAGTTTTCTGAATAGAATGCAATTTACACCAAATCAATAGATCGAATAGATTTTTTGTTTGCTATTAACCAGGTTGAAAAAAATGATTTTGAAAAAAACGAGTTTGAAGTTTACATTCAGATTACTATATGTTAACTGCATATTAAATTAAAAATTTAAATTACTTATTCTTATTCGGCAAGCCCTGGATCATATAACAGTTCTTCCACATCTAAAAACGCTTCTTCGTCGACGCCACAAGCAATTCCAGCGCTTAAGCGACTTTCATGCGTGTTAAGGTAAAATCAGATGGTGCGGAACATCCAATCAGCGCTATTCGAAATAACGCAGAAGAACGCTGATTGGTTGCTTCTATAACGCATTCTCTATTCCGCAGTCGTTTTCCGCACCGTGTAATTTCACCCTTAGAGTTACAGAATAAATCTACTGGGCTCCTATTCTTAAAAAATCGCATATGAAAAACTAGAGAAGTGCTATAGTATATGTAACGTATACTATAGTATTTCCCTAATTTTTCATATGCGATACTTTTCAAGAATATAATAGAACCTCTGCTGAGACGCAATTCCGTAACTGTTTTTACATGCCTACCGACAGTTGTCGGTGTTGTTACGCATATATTTTATTTAGTAAAAAAGCTGCGCAACGACACCGACACAATTGTCAGTAGACGTGTAAAGCCAGTTTTATATTAGTTGCAAGCTGATCGCAGGTTGCGACAGCCAATATGAAGTGTTGATTTCAAAATGCAAGTTTCAAATTGGTTGTCGCAACAAATTTGCGATCGACTTGCAACTAATGTAGAACTGGCTTAAAACAGTTGCGGAATTGCGTCCCTGGGCCCCTATTCTTAAAAAGTATCGCAAAATTAGGGAAATACTATAGTATGCGTTACATATATTATAGCATTTCTTTAATTTTTGTATGTGATACTTTTCAAGAATAGGGGCCCAGTTATTCGTGGTCTTCTCGATCGCCATCATAATTTTAAGTTTCCTTTCTTATATTCTATTCTTTCCATGCACTGAGGGAACTACATAACCTCTCTTGACTTATTCAGACTTATTTGTCAATGTAAAAGTGAGAGAAAGTAAAAATCATCTATAATTTTATTAAAAAGATTGGGAACATTATATAATCGACTATGTTACAATACTAGAATAATATTCAGGCATTGTATAACTCAAATCGAAGTTGACGACTTTCCTTAGTAGTCGTGGGAATTACTTTAAAAAGAAGGAAGAAATTTTGTCATAATTATTGTTGTTTTCTAATGTTGAATTAAAACATTGAGTTAAAGTGTATAAGCAAACAATAAAATTAATATCAACATACACAATGTCCATATTTACGAGGCGAATACTTTCATCTATAGGTAATCTTTTTATTTTATCATAAAAAAATGTCATCATATGTACTAATACAATAACACTGAGCAGCAAAATTTGTTTCCAGTTTCAAGAGAATGGCAATTTTTGCGATCTGTCATCTGTGACACACATCTTCGACAATGTCAACTATCGACTCAGTCTCAACCGAGCTTAGAATCTGGTAAATTTATACACACAAGCATATCTGTACATAAATTGAGCTTAAATATTTTATCCTTCATAATTATTTACAATTTCTAGAAAAGAAGAATTAAAAAATGATTAAGAGCTAAAATAAAATTGGAAAAATGACTTTATTTTTATTCTCAAATAGATGATTAAAAAGGAGAAAACAAAGGGAATATTAAAAACGATTTTAATATTTATTCTTTTTTAATATTTTTTCTTTCTTTAATCATATGTTTGAAAATAAATAAAGTTATCACTTTCAATTTTATTTTAACATATTTTTAATCATATTTTTATTCTTATTTGCATTTGCACTTTTTAAAGTTTAATTTACCTGTTGTTTTCTAGAAAATAAATTTTATTGTTACATTTTTAATAAATAGTATTTTTTATGTGTAACATTAAAATTTAATGTTACATTTTGTAATATAATATTTTTCGCCATACACATAGATCTGTCCAATGTTCCTGAAAGTTCAGAAGTCACATTGGATCCACTGACACACCCAGATTTCTTCCAAGTGCACAAACTATTTACCGTAAAGGATCTATATGACGCGAGAGTGCATTATGGTCACAAAGAGACCTCCCTCAATGAACATATGGAGACATTCATATTCGGCTCTAGACTGGGGCATTTAATAATCGATTTAGATCAAACCGCTGAGTTGTTGAGACAAGCGTTGAACTTCACCGCTCATATCGCCTTTCGAGGCGGCATAATTCTGTTTATTTCGCGCAATCCCCAGGTCATGCATTTAGTGGACAAAACGGCCAAGGAATGTAAGGAGTTTTCACAGACGAGATTTTGGCGACAAGGGCTGTTCCCGAATTCGAGGAATCAGTTCAAGGCGACGACACGGTTGCCGGACCTGTGTATCTTTCTCAGTACTCTGGACACAGTTATGGCTGAGCACGTAGCAGTGAGACACACAGCTAAGATGTGCATACCCAGTGTTGGCATAGTCGACACGAACTGCAATCCAAATCTTATAACGTATCCAGTGCCTGGAAACGACGATTCTCTGTGCGCTATTCAACTTTATTGCTCGTTATTCAAAGAAGCTATCATGAGAGGGAAACGGGCGAGAGAACAGATGATACAAAATGCAGAATCGACATAAATCTGATAAATGGTAAAACAAATGTATGTAGATGTACATGTAAAAAAATATAACAAAGTTGTCAAAGTACATTCTTTTCTTTAATCGAAGAGTAGAGCTATAATGAGTAATAAAGTGATTTAAAAAATCAATATATCGCTCATTCGTTACATCAGCGACATAATTCAAAAAACGAATTTTTTAGAAAATAAAATATTTTCTATTTTAATTTTGTAATGCAATTTTGATACAATAACTGATTGTAAAGGAATAAAAATATGTTTTCCCTTTTATATTTCCATTCATTTTTACAAGCAACCAAGAAAAGTTTTTACAATTTTTAATTAAGTAACAAATGAGCGATCACTTAATGGATATCAGTTAATCTGTTTACATCTGTTTTATTTTCTTATTATGTTTAATATATACATTATATAAAAATCTTAAAGCGCTTATGTGAAGAATATATTGACAAAACATGACAAAAATATAGTTGCTGTTGACATTAGAATATTCACTGATAATCATGGCGATTAATCCTTTTTGGAGGCATTAGCATCTCGTAGTTTTTGTAGGTATTTCAGACCTAAATTCTTTATAATCCTTTATAAAAAAAACATAAAACAATTAAACGCGATAATATTTAAATTGAACAAAAAATTCGTTTACCTTGTTCAACATTAATGGCTGCGTTCAGCAGAAAATGCAATTTTGCAACTATTATAAAATTCTTTAATATGATTTGTTTATTTAGATCTATGAGGAACTAAAAACAAGAATCAATCAAATTAAAGAATCTTATAATACTTGAAAAATTGATTTTTCTGAACGCAGCCATTACAACCTAGGTAAAGTCTATTTTAGACATTCTGTAATTTTAAATAAAATTCGATTTCGTTTAAATGTGTATTCTCTATATGCATAGTATATACTATGATTCTTATAAATATTTTCCATAAATTGACAAATTTTTCTATCTTGAAAGATAGAATTATCGATAGATTCTATCGTAACGGATTGTCAGTTATAGATCAGTTATATAAGATGAATCTAAGAATTCTATAGAAAAAGAGTAAACGAACTTTTTCTATTTATATCTACTTTTATATATATATATATATATATATATATATATTCTATATAGAATAACTTTAATCTCAGTTAAATACACATTTATTCTTTATTGTTTTCTAATACTTAGAATTAAAATAAAATAATACTTAGGAAAAAATAAAAAGTAAGTTAAATCGAGATTAAAATTAATCTACATAGTAGAAACTGATATTAACGTACATGATAGAATTATGTAGACACATACCATTTTGCAAAATTCGGAAAACAATAAGTCATGTATACGAGTCGTAACGAAGACGCCGTGGAAATCCACACTTCGTCCAGTTCATTTGCAATCGCGACGCCCATTAAAATTGCACAACGTTCCACGCTGATTTTGTTTTTAGATATGTCCGTTGTTACACCGTAATTCTAAACAAAATCATAAAGTGTGATCAGCAATTAGCAATACATAATATGTATTGCTGTAATGTGATAGTTAATTGTTTAATATTATGTACACATATACAGGTGGTAACAAAATGCTACTTTTCGTGGGCAAGTAAAGTGAGTTAAACTGAATGAAAAGTCTCTTGCAATTATAAATTTTTCCATCATTAATAAAAAATTAATTAATAAAAATCTACAAACGAGTTTATATATATTATTATAACAAAGCGTTTTAGAAAAAAAGGTGTATATAAAATTGTATTTTACACATTTAATATATCTTTCCGTATCACTATCATGCAGTTATGTAATATTTTCATGTCTCATGTCACAAATTTTCTACACAAACATTCGGATATAGATAAGCACTTTTATGACACATACTTCGCCAGATTTCTCCGTGAAACTCTTTGCTAGAAATTCAGTCTGTACTGGACCCGGGCAAACCATTGTCATGCTGATATTATTATCGGGATATTCCAAGAAGAACGGCTTGAAATAACCCTATAAAAATATATAGTAAAGCATTTTAAGTGAAGTTGCGAATAATTTTTTCAACGAAAGAAGATGATATCTTAAAACTATTTACATGTAAGGCATGTTTAGTGCCACAGTACGTCGCCGACATCGGTACGGGTACAATTCCTGCTAAACTCGAGGTATTGACGATTTGACCTTTGCCTATTTTCAAAAAGTGTTTCACTACTATTCTGCTCAAGGACAAGATGGAGAATACATTCAAGTTGAACATTTCTTTATCAACCGCTATCTCGATGTTTTCCCATTTTGCTCTTTGACTACGGCCAGCATTGTTGACGAGTATGTCTAACTAAACGTAGAAACATATCCTTGATGAAATTTTTTCTTAGAATTTTTTCTCTAAATTTCTGAATAATTTTATATAAAATTTCTTAGATTTTTTTTATATTAGGTGTTGGAATTAATTCGTAGCGTTTTACAAGTGATGGGAAGTACTTTCATTAATGTATTTTTTAATGCTCATGTGAAATAAATAACATTCTTTCATTAAAAACGCTACGAATTAATTCCAACACCTAATACAAATTGAAACACTTCAGCAAAAATACTGAAAAATTTCATTTTCATTTGATTAAATTAAATTATTTATTTGATTTTTTTCTCAGTATATGAATTCTAAAATATTTGTATATTTCTAAGATGTCTCATTCTATAATTTCTGATGAAATCTTATAAAATAAGAAATCTTAGAACATTTCAGTATTCATATATACGAAAGATTCTAAGAAAAGATATAGACTTTCTCAGTATTTCTGAAAAGTATTTGTACAAAAATTTTCAGAAAAATTTTCATCACAGAGATAATAAGATTTTCGATTAATATATATCGATAATAAATAATAATAAGAGCGATAAATATAACAGAGGCATGCAATAGAATTTTAATTAAAAGATTGATGATTTTTATTAACACAAAAAATATAGTATGCTAAAATTGCTAAATCTACCTTGCCGAATTTATTGATTACATGTTCGAATGCTTTTTCGTGCAAGTCCAAATCAAGCACATCCATAGGATAAATTTCCACATCATTGTCGGTTAAGTTTCTATTCTCTGCAAAGGAACATTTATGAAAGAAAAGGAATAAAGAATAAACGATTTCAACCTATCAGAAGTCAGATACATCAGAATATACGTTTCTGATAGATTGAAATCGTTTATTCTTTATTCTTAATTCCTTATTCCTTCTATTGTACGCAGGGTCAAAGTGGATAACAATGGGCACGTTCAAGTCAGGGTTGATAAAAACATGTTTTAAAACATGTATTTCAAACAGTTTAAAACACGCTTAATTGATGTTTTTAATATGTTTTACATATGTTTTTTTCTTTTATAGTACTGTAAAGCATATTTGAAGCATTAAAAACATATTTAAGAAAAAAACAATACATTTTATTCTTAAAAAAAACATTAGTCTTTACTAACTCTGGTTCAAGTTGACAAGCGACTAGCCTGCTTGCCGAGCAAATGAGCATAATTGATTGTAGATCCAATCAAGCATATTCAATCGTTCGGTAAGCATACCTAGTCGTCTTGAACTCATCAAATAATAGTGAGTTAACGACACTAACTTAATGTAATTCTATTTAGAATTATCGAAAGAAATCACATCAATTAATTAAAACAGTCGACGAAGATCATTAACATAGCGCGGGAAAGATCTTTTATAGAAGAGTTTGCGAGACGCGAGTCAGTTGTACCTTCCAAACACGTTTTCTTCACTCGTTCTAATTCAGCGACTCTCCGAGCGGACAAGATTAATTTGCAGCCCGCTTTGGCTAACACGTAAGCTAAATGTTCTCCAATACCGGTAGATGCACCTGTTATCCATACTGTCTTGCCTTTCAACGAAGCTATGATAACGAAAATATGTTCGTTTATTTACTCTGAATGATTTATAATTTGTGACAGATTTCAGGAGAACTACTTGTAATAAAAAAATAGACAACAAATTAAATTATACAATAATAATATAATAAAAATTACAATAATTTTTATTATGTTAATATTTATTGTACATTTTTAATTAGAATTAGATTATTGAATAAATAATGATATAAAGATTCTCTTCAGTCCAGTGATACACAAAAATTTATTTAAGAAACAAACAAAACTAACATTCAATTATATATTATCTTTACAGACTATTTTGCATTCCGACAGTTCTTTTTCTATAAATAAAGATAATATTATTGGATGTTTCATGTTTATTTATTTATTAACAAATTGTATGTAAATTTTTATTTACTGGACGGAGGAAAATTTTCATAGATAGACAAATAGACCTGGTATCTATGTGATTTTACTTGTGACTGATGAAAAGTTGACTAAAGAAAATTCTTTGCTATTTTTCAGCATTGTGCAAAAATATACTTACATACAGATTTGCCGTACTTTTCCTTAAAAGCGAGCAGTATGTCGCAATCCAAGAAGGAGGGAAGAATGAGATAGACGGAATAGTAGACTACGAATAAGAGTCCGATAATTACGAATAAATCCATACTTAATTACACTTATCTACGGTGATTTGAAAATACTTCTGCAAACAAAATGTTCACATTGTTATCAAACTTATACATATGAATACTTACACATATGAATACTTATACATATGAATATATACATAATTTTGTTTTCTTATGTAATTATATTTCAGTTTCATAAATTTTTATGCGTTCCTTTTACAATTCTTTTTATGATTTATAAAAAAAATCGGTTTATTTAAAGGTTTGAAAATCTCTTGAACTAAATATTGGATAAGAGAAAGAAATTCTTTTATTTTATTTTAAAATTATAGAATTCTGTGGCCTTTTTATTCATTTTTCCCTAATTTTTTATTTGGTAAATAATTCTTTTTCAAATGAAGAGCAGAAAAAAATTAATGACGTAAATCATATTTTTTATTTTCATTAAAATTAATATAATTTTACAATTTTTACTATTTTTAAAAAACAGGCAACAAAATAACGAGATAGAAACATCTTAATTTCTGAAGAGAAAAATCAGAATTAAATATGGACAAACTGGAGTCATTATTGGATTTACTGGATTTTGAGGACTTAGCAATGAGAGACTGATATTACAACTACTCACGAAGTATAGTCATCAATTACATCACAGGTGCAAACTGAATCTTCGTGACATATTTAATTATCGTAGGGATAATCGTAAGACTAGTTTTCATATAATTATAACCAGGGTTTACGAAAGTAACGCGTTATTTGTAACGGCGTTATAAGTTATTTTTTTTTAGTAACGTTTGAATAATGACATTACATTTTCTTATGAATAACGTTCATGGCAACGCAGTTAAATTTTTGGAATAATGGTAACGATTTCACTAGTTATTTTTATCGTTACTTTATTTCTATTTACGTAATAATTTTAATCATCAGTAGAGCGTATATACAATGAATGCAAAATGTATTCGTACAGAGAAAATATTTTGTAAAAGAACTTTTTTAAAAAATAAATATTATTGAGCGAGAAATGAGTCATCGAATTGAAGTTGAATCAACATCGATGTGATGATTTCAATACCAATATGACTTTGATTCGACGTTTATTTGACCATCATTTCTTGCTGTGTAATTAACAATTTGTTCATAAAAAATATATTAATATGTATTAATTATAGAAGATATATCTGAAAAATAAGCGGAAAAATTGTAATGTTTGATTGCTGAAAAAGTATTTGTACAGTTGAGAAATTTAGCTTTTAAAATCAAGAATATATGCGAAACTCGTTTGTCAATGTAAGAACAGAATGTATTCATTCATTGCATAAAATTGCTAATTAATATTTATTTCCTAAAATAAAACTTTTTTTATAAAAAATTTCCTTATACGAATACTTTTTGCTCTCACTGTACATATACGAAAAAGATTTATATTTAGTAGAAGAAAAAACTAAAAAAATTAATAAATATGTATACATATTATAACTAATCTGTGCTTCGCGGGTTTTCTTCATGTCTTGGTCCATTCTTGATGTACCAACGTTTCGTGGGCCTTGCAGTCCACTTCATCAGGGCGAGGAGCAGCCTGATACTCATCGTATCAGGCTGCTCCTCGCCCTGATGAAGTGGATTGCAAGGCCCACGAAACGTTGGTACATCAAGAATGGACCAAGACATGAAGAAAACCCGCGAAGCACAGATTAGTTATAATATGTATACATATTTATTAATTTTTTTAGTTTTTTCTTCTACTAAATATAAATCTTTCTTTTTTGTAGTTACTACAAAAATCTGCATGGAATAGTGTTTTTCATTGGCAGAATTAATGAGCATTCAGTGTCACTTTAAAGCCGCTGTAAAGCCAATCAACGCAAAGATGTATGGTTAATAAAAATATAGAAATGAGTTAAACTGCAAAGTCCTCAGTACATTTTATCATATTATTTGATAAAATATACTTTAGATATTTTATCCTCTCAGCTATCTCATTTTTACATTTAGATTAGAGTTGTGTACAACGGCTTTAATGTGCTCAAGTTCTGACATTGAAAAATGCTATGTAATACAATATTCTATTAGTATCAAGAAAAAAAAATAACGAAAAAGTAACGACTCGTTACATTTTGAGTGACGGTAACGAGTTATTTTTAGATAACGTTGCAAATCTTGATTATAATCGATAATTAAGCTGATAGTAAGGCATTATGCTAGATAGAGTTCCTCAAATCCGAGCAATTGTAAAATAACTGCAAGTTGAAAAATTCCTTTTTGAGAAAAAATAGAGTGAGCTTCATTCAATCTGTAATCGAAAACAAGGAAGCAACGAATTTAATCTGAAGGCTGACTTTTAAAAAGAATATATTTTTTTTAAAAAGTATACTTTTAAAAAAATATATAAATACTTTTTTTAAAAAGAATATTATTATTGTTTTAAAAAAGGTAGATATCAAATTGGATCGTGATGTAATTCGTAAAAAAGATAAATCCCAGACAGAACAAAATATTGATTGTAAATATTTATTCTTACTTATTTTTTTTATATGTATAAATATTTTAAGAAATATGTATAAAATATTTATACATATAAATATTTTATACATATTTCTTATAATATTTATAATAAATATAAATAAATATTTCTAATAAGTATTTTTTATTTGTATTATAATATTTTATTTATTAAATTTATTTTTCATAACATTTACAATAAATATTTCAGAATATTTATAATACATATTTATGATGCATGTAATCATAAATATTTACAAAATATTTAAAACAAGTCTTATAAATATTTACAAATATTTTGTGAATATTTTATTAATATTGTTGTATGGGAAAAAATGATGTCTGGGATTTTAAAAAAAGTCTTATTGTTATTAAACTTTTTTCAGTAAAACCGGTTTCAGTTATTCCGTACATAAGTTCGAGTAGTGCTGTGTGACAGATTATACGGCGGCATGATCGGCAAACGTGACAATACCTATATTTATTTATTTTTCATTTTCTATATCTCAAATACGTAACTTATTTTTTAATTCTCCTTCGATATTTAAGATCATGTGATAAAAAAATTATGTCAATAAAGGTTATCGTGACACACGCTGCTCGTTAATATCTCTTTTTTTTTCTTTCAGATTCAAGAGAACTTTTAAATCAAAAGCAGAACTCAAATACATTACTGTATTTTTTTCTTTTTATTTCTAAACAAAGATTCCATTCATTGTAGAGACCCTCTAATTAAAAGAAAAAGATTAAAGAATTGCGACATGAAACGATTTGAGTCGACTTTTGTATGCAGAGTAGAAGTTTTAACAAAATCGATAACAGAGAGAGAAATATATTAGTAATCTTTAACCTTACGCGGCGTACATTTAATTATACATATTATACATATTAAATATTAAGATAATATTAATTATCAAGATAATTTAATTGTTACACATCTTTTTAGATAAAATAATTTTGAGAAATATACATCTTTTTATTCTTTGTTAATGAATTAACGTTTATTTTCTTAAAAAAATAAGATTTTTCTTTAAGTATCTGCTTTTTGCATTCACTAATGTCTGTAAGTCTTGTGTTTTTAAACATCGTTTTGTTATAAGATTACAATACAAATGCAAACTTATAAAAATTGCATTGATCTAACTGTCAATAATTCATTTGCAATTATAATGAACGCAGTCGTAGAAAGATCACATATAGAAATGCGTATTATTATCAAGTGCTTCAACATGGAGAGAAAAGGACAGGAGACGAATTATTTATAAACCACATACAGATAAATTGTATCATATGAAGAAATGATAAAAAATTATCGTCATATCGTCGCATGAATTTTCGAATAAATGTTTGCCTTGTTAGTTTTAGTGATATTTTGCCATAATAAAGAATAGCTAAAGGAAATCCAACGTACAAAGAAAGAAAAGGAGTCGATCATTTTCAATGTTGTTATCCTCTTCTTCTTTTGGTTAATAACTCCCGCCTCCCGAAATAATAAACGGAAGTCGATACGGTCAGATCACGTCTTAATGAGATATAAAACAAAAAAAAACAAAAAAACGCAAAAATGGCGAAGCCTTCACGGACACCGGGCTTGCGTCTATGGCATCGTCACGCCGCACGGACGTGCGTTAAGATGACTGAACGGGTTATCCAAAATCACGAGATGGCTACGAAAAGTTCAATGCTAAGTCAAAGTCGGCAACACTTTCAAAAATATGTAAATTTGTAATACTCGAGCCGAAACGCGTCCACCACAGTCGAGTGGTTCTTCAGAACTGATATTGTTACACTCGAAAGGAAAATAATAAAGAAGAAACATTAAATTGAAACCACAGAACACGCAAATTAGAGATCGTTTTCATTATGAAATCGCATAATGTGAAACAAAGTACACCGGTTGTGATGAAGCAAAGTGCACTGTCGTTACGTGCTCGCTTTTAAACTCCGTCCGAAGAACTCCAGAAAAAGAAATCGTGTCTGCCTGTGGAACTTGTTCTTCGCGTGAGAATGACCTTGACTCTAACAAAATCGATACGCCAGAATCGAAAATGCCACTTATGCGGTGAGTAATAAAAATAATATGCAAAATACGAAAGTCTAAAAGAGTAACATAAACTCAATGCGCGTTCGAAATAGGTCACATATTCCAAAAATGATGACGTGTAACAACACGTCCGATCACGTCGGTAGACTCACCTAGCTGCTTGGGAACTAATGATGTGAACTCCAAGAGGGTATAAGAAGATACATATACTACTACAATAAGTCTATATTCGTGAATTTGCGCATGCGTTGTATGTCTATGCCCTCTTCATGCTATTAACCGTGCTGCAAGCGAGTGTGGAGTTAGCATCACTGTGGAACTCCAAAAGACTTTGGGCCCCCGATCACGCAGAGATGTAAGGAGAGGACAATCTGAATGCTCGAGGAATGTGTCGAGAATAAACGAATAACTTCAAAATATATAGATACGAACCCGTTCCAAATGCATTGAAGAAAAGAATGATTTAAAGTTCATTAAAATTTGTGCAAATTTTCATAAACTTTAAATCTGACTTGGATAATCTCTAATTTTTACTAATAGATTACAGGAAATAGAATCTAATTTTATTTTTAAATAAATTATTCAATTCTATATAGTAATTTTATGCGTAGTGCATTTTGATATATATATTTTAATATTCATTTTGTGTGTGTTTATATGTTGTTGTATTTGTAATTTGTTATTACATTTATTGTATATGTTATATATATTTACGTACATTTATAAAATATCTACAATATTATACATAATATTGTATATATTGTATATATTGTATATATTGTATATATTGTATATATTGTATATATTGTATATATTGTATATATTGTATATATTGTATATATTGTATATATTGTATATATTGTATATATTGTATATATTGTATATATTGTATATATTGTATATATTGTATATATTGTATATTATATATATATATATATATATATAAATTAATTCGCTTATCAACGTTTATGATTCATTTCAAATAATTGATAATACGTATTAGTTATTTGAAATGAATCGCGTAAACGTTGAAGCGAATTAATTTATAGAGGAAAGGTTCTTATTATGAGATACTGAGTTTATTTTAGGTAAATGCTAGAAATCTATGTGCAGAATAAAAAAAATAATAGGTCATTTTGAAGGGAATTTAATAAGCTTTAAGATAATGTTATGTAAAATTTAATTCAAATTTTATTTTTTTTATAAATTAAAGAAATATGAAAAGTGAGCAAATCGCAAAGTCAAAAAATTGTACTCCTAATATGAGATGTCCCAAGAAATCGATAATAAAACGCAAAGTACATCAATATTGCAATTAAAAAAAACTTTATTTAATGTTTCTAAAATACAAATAAACAGCCAGTGCAAAATGAATATGCATTGTACCTAGCTGACTCATCTTCAGATAATTGGAACCAAGCATCGCAGAAATAGGCACTCGATGTTTATTTCGATTGTCCTTTTTAATATTGTACAATAACATTTATACTTCAGCAACAATTTTTACTACGACATAAGAGCATAGATTATTTCATATTATATTAGAAATATGCTGGGTATCTCATATTATGATTTTCACGCCTTTCGATTTTACAATCATCAAATCTAATTTCTGTAATTAAGCAATTCAACATATGACGTATTTTTCTATTAATACGATCTTACTTTATCATCACATGAAGAATTTTTATTGCCAAATAATATTATATTTATTTATTAAATAATAAACAAGATTTAAAAGCTCATCTCAAAACTTGAAGACATCCAAATTCTAAAATCTTTTTTTGCAACGATTACAGGCGATCTAATAATGAATTTTCCACTAGTTTTCAATCTAAGAACGATAAATTTATGGTGGAACCAATAGATAGCGTTCATTAGTTTAGCGAAAACACTGCTATTTCATATTAGGCACCTATCTCATAATAGAGGGTTTTCCTCTATATATATACATATACAGGGTGTCCCGAAATTTTTTGCGAATCGCTTTTGTATAGATAGAGCAGATTAAACTAAATCAAAAAGTCCTCTACTATTTTGCAATTTTCGCAATAATTAACAAGATGTTATTATTAAAAATTATAAATATTGGTTTTGAATAATTTTTTACTCAAATACTATCAACTTTATAGAAAAGCTGCAAGAGACAAAAATCATTTATTTTCGTTTCATAAAGTTCTGAGAATTTTTTCAGAATATTTTAGAATTTTTTAATACCGTATTGTCTCATGTAAAAATAAGAAAATGCACTAAAAAGTTGATTAAAAATTCCGAAAAAATTCTTAGAGTTGAATTTATGAAAAGAAATTAAATGATTTTTGTTTCTTTTGACTCAATCCGCTCTATCTACACAAAAACGATTGACAAAAACTTTTGAGACACTCTGTATATAATAATTAACACTAATGCGGATAATTTGATAGTCGTTTATCCATATATTGTGAATAAGTCTAAAAGATGTTTTATAATTTATAACGTTCACTTCAATTTTCGCATATAATACAATAGAAAGAAAACTAGTAATTCGCTTTCTTACGGATATTAATTTATTATTATCTCTATGATATAATTTCTTAATAATATACATACAATTTTTATCTTGTGTGCACGCATATACACATACACATAAAGATAAAATATAGATCACCTGAAAATAATAAAAATACGAACATCTTCAATCTTTTATATTGTTCAACATTTTATATTGTATAAATCACAATGTCTTTGAACGATTGAGTTATGAAAAAGTGATATCATTTTCAAGATTTTGCTTCGGAGCTCGAAAAATCGTATATTTTGCGTTCTATTTTATTTTATTTTATTTTATTTTATTTTTTTACATAAAAGAACGGTTTTATTGAAATATCTAAAATTTAGCTAGATACAGATATAAAAATAATTTTGTTGGATCATCAAAATAATTATGTAAGTTAAACTGATTTAGAACGTCAAAAATTTTGCAGCACTCTAATTATCTTGAAATTTCTACGTAATTACTATTTTAATGGCTCAACACATTTTTTTCAGATCTATATCTAGATTAAAAAATTTTTTAATATCTCAACAAACTCATTCTTTTCATGTAGAAATCTTAAAAATGCTACATATTTATACCTTGCACTTTTGCAGTGAGTATTTATCGTATTAAATTGCAATATTAAAAGCGATGAGAATTATGTTATTTGATAATACAATCCGATTGTCACCTACATAAAGTCACCTATCTAAGTAAAATAACAAATCATTATGATTTCAAAATAATGTTAAAATGACTCCAAAATGATCATTACAAATCATTTTTCAATCATTTCTGATTCATTTTAACGTCATTTTGACGTTGTCATGACTTATTCTGCTTGGGTAAGTTTACGTAAATTGTAATGTAAGATTGCATAAGTTGTATTTCTTAAAAGATATATCAGTTTTGTAAAATCCATAGTTTATGCCGGTACTATATAATAGAACAAATAGAAGCAATAATTTTAAAAGTCGCAAATTATTCATAATCAGTGTCTATCTTCTGGAAGCTCTTCTTATTCGATGAAAGTACAGGTATTCCTGAAACATAAAAATATATTCTTGTACATAAAAATATAATTATATAAATAAATTATATTTAATTGTAAATTTATGTTACATATACATGTATAAGATGTGTATGAGGATTTTGACTTGAACTTGTTCAATAAAGAAATCAAGTATTGTCAGAATAAAATTAAAAAGTGATCGCTCACTATTAAGAACGACGCGCCGAGGAGCAGGCTTTTCAATCTCACGTCTGTATCTACTGGAAATGTGAGAAGCAGGATGTAGTCGACTGCAAAGTGATCCCATTGATGTATTAGTGATGCGACTTGGCGAGATCCATCCAATGATACGATCTAAAAAGGAAGAAATAGATGAAGTAGAGTAATTAAAATTAACATAAAAGTATGTTATTAAATTTTATTATATTATACATATAATATATACACATATATAATTATTATATATGTTATTATACATTATTACATAAATATTAATGTAATGTGTTTTTAACAATAAATACGTTGAGAGAAAAAGTTGCAACTTTTTACTGTAATTACATGATAAAATAATTATGATTAGATTCATTTTTATAATTATTATTGCTATAATATCTGCGATAATAACTTTACATTTATAATTTTACTATGAAAAAATTGTTGAAGCTCCATATTATGATAATTTTAAATTAAATTATTAAATTACTAAAATATTAAATTATTTTGAATATTAAAAAATATAGTAAAATGTCAAGAGATGAATGATAAATAAGAAAATAATATAACTTTAATAGCATTTAAAATAATTTTTACGTAGTAAATGCAATCGCAATTATATAACTACCTTCTTAACATATGCTTACTATTTATGAGGTAATAAAAGTAAAAGATATGCAAGAGAAAAAAAAAAAAAATTACATAATCGCATTTATCATTACAGGCTGCATATCATTACTTGCTTTCCAGCAAGAAACATAAATAACACAGTTTGACACAGTAAACTCGGAGGTAGCATAGCTTTAAAATTTCGAGAAGATAAAGTTTCGCCATTCAGCTTATGTAATCATTTATATTATTTCTGAAGAGGATTCAATCACGCAGTCGAAATATGTCAAATGCAAGTTATTAACGTACGAGGTAAAATGACTACTTTATGTACAACTGAAAATATATGTATTGTTTTACGCAATAAGTTCTGCGGTTGGCTCACACATATGTATTTCTATACTCTATACTTTTTAACATAGTGAATCATTACATCTTTGTTGTTTTCCTGTGTTGCAAATTCTTACAAGAAAAATTCTTGTGAGATCTTCTAAGAAAATTTTCACATACAAATTTCGGACAGGAACATACAAGATTTGTAAATAAATCAAGAATCTTGCATGAATCTCATATCCATATTACATGAAATCTTATAAACATGTTATTTGACTCTTACACGCATGTTACGTGAATCTTGCAAAAATATAACTGGAGTGTCATTATGAAAATATTACAAGAATATTATTAGAATATTTTGTGTGATTTGTTGCTCGTGTCGGTAAATAAAATGGAATGAGACAAGCAAAGATCATTGAATGGATTTATAAAAGAATTCATTTTGTGGCTAAAAATTAAT